TTGACCTTTCGGTTTAACAAAAACGAGGCGATTTTGTAACGCAATAGTAAGTTCTTCTGTTGCCTTTTCAAATTCGCCAATAAGACTATAAAATTTTCTATCCATCGAAAACTCGTGAGCTCGATATTCATTAAAGTATTTCATAACACCTTGAAGCTGCGAAATATCGTTGACAAAATTTTGGATTTTTTCAATCACTTTAACGAATCCTTGGAAAATCGGATAATTATTACTATTTTCAAAAAACCAAGTGTACTCATTTTTTAGTTGACGTAAAACTTTCACTTCGCCTGCAGCGCTATCAACACGTCTAAGTAATACACTGCAAACTCTTCTATTATGTTCGGCCTTTTCGTAACTTTTTCTAATTATATCCGCATATTTTTGGATTTCAGTTATCAATGGTGAAAATATTGTAAAGTCCGTTCGTATGATGGGTGCCTCAACACCCTCCATCGGATCGTCTATCATAAGATGTTCATCATCCGGGGTATTCAGCAAATTATGTATGTTGCTGCTCATTATAGAAATTTATTAGTGGAAAGAAAAAAAGTAATACATGTACATGTAATGATAAAATTACGAGTTTTATACATGTACATGTTGATCGACTGTGTTTGTGTATTTTTGCATGTAAAAATGGGGGCATTCGTTCACCAATCATATCGGTATGGAAACTTTCTGTAGAATGTTATGCAGATTGATGCAGGCATTTAACTGAAAGAAATGTTGAAATGCATGATACATAAAAAAATTAAACATCTTCGGAATTTGTAAAAATTGTGAGTGCTAGAAAAGTGATATGGGAAAAGAGTGTTAATGACTTCTGTTAAACTTGGATTTCCATTATATTCAAGACCAACGGCAAACGTGAATACAAAAATTTCAAAATCTTCATTAACGGAAATGAACAAGTAAAGATCTGTAATAAAAGAAAAGCAAATAAAATTTTTTGATTTTAGAAATTTTTTGGTAAAATAGTCAATTGGACATGGAATTTTACAGAGCAAAAATGGAAAAGAAATTTGACTATAGCTTTGAAGTGTTGATCCAGAAAAAAAGATAATAAAATTTGCATTATCTTTAGTTGAATTTCTTATTGAAAAATTGATACATAAAAATATAATTCGTTTTATCAAAATTTTACTTAACTGCAACCCAACTTAATAATTGAATATAATAGAATTTTATTTTAAATTAAACTCACATATAAAAATCATAACTGCTATGCTAATTATAATGAATTATTTGAAAATTTCCAAGTATACAAATTAAATTAATAGAATTGTCAGACTTTTTTATAGTCATATCTCTTTATAACCACCTTTTTTTATAGTTATCTTTTTTGAGTGTCCAGTTACAAATTAACTATAATAAAAAAATCTCTCTATAGTTATTCTTATTTGTTTTTTCAAGTATAATGATTATAGAGAGATTTGATTATATATACAGTATATATAAAAGAAGAAATTTATTTATTTAAAGTATTATATTAATACAAAATTTTTTTGAATATTAAATTTATAATATTT